CGATTAGGATCCTTCGAGGATAAGCGCGATATAATAAAGAAGCGAACCTGCTTAATTACGTATATAGTCGTATACTCGATAGCGATAAAGCGGGCGTCCTAGTTGCTAAAGTCTCTTAGTAAGGAGCCCTTATTAATCTGCTCTAGATGCTTACTAACTAACTATAACAGGGCTCCTACTAGTCTATATCGGTAACCTGCTAGCGTACATTATCGACACCTTCTGCAACATAGGTCTCGTGCCTTCGTATAAGACTATCTAAATTCTAATTAAGAAGAACGCGCAGACCTAGAGACTAGCGATTAAAGAGTAGGTTAAGTTGTTTATCTAGTAGATTTGCTATAATAACTTTAATCGGCAATCTAAGAAGAAGGATTAGGATATTGCCGACAATAACGAGCAGGTTAACATTACTAACTTATATATCGCCCTATACGAGGACTTCCCGGAAGGTAGCTTAATATAGGACATATATAACCGTTCTAAGCCGGTCGTTACCTAGAGCATTATCGACAATATCGATAACGACGACGCTGTCGTTCTAGTAGAGCTGTTCTAGATCGATAAGGCTATTATATACGTATTCGGAGATGCTGTTAAGTTTATCTTTAAGGGTACGAAAGACAATACCGGCGAGCTAATAATCCGTCTATAGTTTCTAGAGATCGAATACAGTTTTAAAGGCAAGACTCCGATCTTATTAATGCCGCTATCCTAGAATAATAAGATATCGAATAAGGGCACCCTTCTTGTCTACGATAATCTATATTAGACCAACCTTAGATTAAAGCTAGAGGATCCGATTTTCGCTAAGCGCCTTATCCTTAACATTAGTAATTAGTTAACCGTAGAGCGTATACTCTATATAGTCTTTAGTAGCGTCGAGAATAAGGCTCCGTACGACAGAAAGTAGCATATCCTTAGCGTGCCTACTATAATGCATACCTTTATAAACCTCTGCTATACCGTGTTCCGTACTAATTAGTATAAGAACAAGGCCGGCGACAAGCTTAATATCTCTACTTCCCTACTCTCGGATATCGACTTCTAGGGTATAAAGGAGGTTAATCCTAAGTCCCTAAAGTTCTTCCGGATATAGAGTCTACTAAAGCGTGCATTTACCGCTCGCATTGTCGCTCTCTTTTATTAGGCCCTAGTCGATCGGAAAATCATTACTAAGGACATCGCTGGTACTAGTAATTAGACCTATCCTAAGGTTGTTAAGTAGGCAATTAAGGAGAAGGTAACTGCCGCTACCTATCTCGACATCTTAAAAGACATCTATAAGGTCGCATTTACTCCTAAAGCATAGGATAGTATGCCCGATAGGCTAAGCGTCGATAACGGTACTATACCGACTAATCTACCGACTAGTCTAGATACTACCTTTATATCTATATATAGGATGCTTAAGGAGGCTTCTCTTTTCTTTCGTCTCCGACACTCCGTTCGTATAAAAGATGTTAGTTACATCCGCCGTTGTATTAATTATATAGTTCTATACTTTATCGGTGCTAGTTAGGCTAATTATAGTCGATTAATAGTATATATGCACTACCTCCTTAACGAAGGTAGCATACCTAAGCCTATCTCCTATTAGACCCTTGCTAGCTAGCGCACGGTTATTAGTTTATTTATAAACCCCTTGCGTAGCAAGGGTCTAAATACAAAAGGTCACTTTCGGATAGCTAGAATTTCCAACTTAGCGCGCAACGCGAAATATATAAATCTTATAGGTATATGTTGTAGCGCGTGCAATTCTAAGCTCAAATAATCAAGAATGAAATGTATGCGACGTTGTAGCGTTAAGATATTATAGATACAATATAGCGGGTTGCCTAGTAGCTAGCCGGCTAGGCTACAGTTTAGTAACTAGCTAAGAACACCTATTTTGCGACTTAACGCAAACAATACGACGACACTTAGAGGTTGTAGAGCGTGCAATTTCGAGTATATATTAGTTATATTCGCCTATACGACGTTGTATTGCGTTGTTATAACTAAAAAGCAGAGGATATCTAGCTTTTAGCTAGCTTACCTAAAATAGCTAAATTTCGACTATCGCGAACAAACAAGCTAATACCTAGAGCTTCTTACGCGTGTAATTTTATAAAGATCCCTGTCTAGTAGATGTCTATGCGACGTAGTAGTATTAAGTAGCAATCTATAAGCGGAGGTTATTAACCGGGCTAAGGCAAAACATTAGTATATAGCTGAAATAAGTGCTGTGCTATAGCTTTAAAGCGTATACGAGTCGCTACGGGTTTGATAAGTAGTTAGTGTAATGCTAAAGCGGTGCGGCAAGTAACATAATATCTCGTATATATTCCTATAGCTTCCTGTCCGTGCGTTATTATATACAACGCGGCTCGTACGCTTGTGCGCTCGTACGCTCGACGCGTATATCTATATGCCCGTTCTTCGCTCGACTTCCTTTATAAGTATATATATCGTTGCAGCTACTTTCTACTACTACTAGCGCCGCTGCTATATCCGGCAATAATATCGATATAGAGCGCGGCTCCGATGCTTTAATAGATTCAAACCTACTACTAACAACCTTCGCCTTTATAAGTTAAGGCCTCCGTCCTAGGCTACTCGATAACTTTACTAGCGAGCTTAGCTCTATATTGCCTATCTCCGAAGCCGATCGTCGTAAGGCTAAGGCTAATTAAGAGGCGCGCCGCCTTTAAGCTCGCTACGGACCGGCTATTATCGAGGCTACTTTAGAAGTAGAAGATTAAGATAAAGACGACCTTGAAAGTAAGGCCTCTAAATAGTCGATAGAGCTTAGCGAGGATAAAGTCGAGGAAGAGCGGAATACCGAAGAAGCTACTAACTTTAACCGAGACGATAAAGAAGAGGAGGGTAGCGATAAAGATAACACTATCGACACCCGACTAGGCTATAGTAGGAAGCGTAGCAAAGCGCTAGCTACTATAGCTAACAAGAAGAAGGATAGAGAGAAGCGGGCGTAGAAGGAAGCCCTTGCCGATAAGACCGATAATAAGAAGTTTTCCGATATAATAGACAAGATTAATATAGAGTATATCGCCGTTACCTAGTTCCTATAGATATAGGTTAGCGACAAGGGCAGCAAGACATACCGGCGCCGCATTAGCTATATACTAAATACCTTCCTAGAAGAGGGTATAGTTAGCACGCGGATGCTTCGTTCTAAGTTTAAGAAGCTAGTCGGAAAGCGGTTCTTTAATAAATACAATCCCGCGAAGGCCGTAGAGCTAGACGACCTACTAGAGATAATAAATATTATTAAGACTAGCGCACCGATATAGTATACTATGCTTAAGCGCCTTCTACCGAACAAGAAGAAGAAGCTAAACATAGATTTCGGCTAACTAGCAATATAGCAAAAGAAGGCTAGCAATAACGGTAGGGATAACGAGGGCGAGTAGGAGGAAGAAGATAATA